TTTCAATAAACATGGTTATATGCATGCCAGTTAGTTTTAGTTCTGCCCCAGCTGTTGAGGTGTGAAACCAAGTGATACCCCTGGAATCTAATACAAGGTTTAAAAGAAATGTATGATTGCATTGCAGGCTTTGCAGCAAGGACATTAGCCCACATAATATTAAATGATGTTGTGACATTAAACGCTGAGTTGTTGTTGATACATGAATGATCATACTGGTTTGTGTCTATACCATTATGAATCTATAGAGACAAGTTAACATCAGAGTGCAGTAGATGCCACAGATACAGATGCATGCGATCCCACCATGAGAAAAACAAAGTGAATGACGACCTGTAGGCTGCAGAAAGTACATGCTCAGCAAACAAAAATATATTAACTGTCTTTAATATCAAAGGTAGTTCTTCTATTTGACTTATTTCACTTAAGTTTTACTGACATCAAGATAACCAAGACAAATCACAGTGCAATTCTAAAAAGAATAACTGTGTTGATAATTATGGTCATTTTTCTCAACAGAAATTTGCTTAATCCTTGAAAGATACTATGTCCCTTTTGCAGCCAACATCAAATTCTGTAGAACTTTGCAGGAATTATGAATATGTCAAATTTAAATGTTAGCAGTGTCCTAATATTCAAATTATGCAAGGAAACCCGTTTACTTGCTAGACTTCACTGTCAGACACTATTGAGTGACTGACTGGCTTTTTTCATCTTTGGTAATAACATACATAAAATGAGCTGTAAAGGGTACATGAGCATTTGTCTACATCAATAACCCACTTCTTGTAATGGCCAAAATTAAATTGATTGAATCTTTGCACAGCATAAAACGTACGACCATTCAGTAGAATGGTCTGAAATATCAGACTAGTGCTTACTGGCTCTATAGCTCCTAAGTTGATTTGACAACTAGTAATCATTATTTTCCCACTTAAAGACATTTTCAAGCCACCCCCCTTTTTTTCAGGGAAGTTCTAAATTAGTATTGTCTTTCAAATGCCATTGGAATTTAACCTTTTCATTTCTTTGGCCTGCAAATGGGACATAGTACCTTTAAGAACTCAAAGCAACAGAAAAACGAAAAAGAACAGGAAAAAAAAAAAAAGAAGTGGAAAAAGAGTCATGATATTTTTGTTCATAGCCTTGCTTACTGCTTAAAATCTTGCACTGTACTTGATAAAGTTAATTCAATTTCCATTCATTTTCACGTGAAACATATAAATGGCACCTTTAAAGAGAAGAAGATATTTGTTTTCCCACCCAAAAGTCAGTGTCATGGTTACTCAGAGTCACATACAAACTGAAGGCGAAAACAGATCTGAATCATCACTAAGACGTCACTATCAATATCTGGGAAGAGGCAATATGTCTGCCTGCAAGGTTTCTTCATCATGCCTCAAATAGTAGTCTTAACCTAACCTTCTGAGGACTCTTCCTTAGATTGGATTATTCTATTTCACTTTCTTTTTCTTTTTTTTCACAATGATTTCTTTTCAAATTATTCATAACAAATCTTTTACACCCTAGAGAACATTTAAATTTGTAGATATACGTGTACATAAACATTTTACATGCTGATACATGTACACATGAATTGAATGGCATTAGTTACAATACATGTACGTATTGAATATGACAGTTATGACCTAATAATTTTCCTTGTCATCCTGTTGACATCCACAGTCAAAGGAGTTGATTATTATTGCATTTGATACATGTATATTACATATCACAACTGGAAGTATGTAAGTGTTGTATGGTTGGCATTGAACATGAATATGAGGGTTGTTGTTGAATGATATAACTGAGCTTAGAGACAAAAAAGTACTTGCAATTGAGACTCATACTATTCTTGAACTTTATTGTTATCGTTTCTCACAAAGACAATAACAGAGCAAATTAAGTTTGATTAATGTTTTTTCTTAAAGGTCTAATTACCCCCCTCCTTATCTCTGAATAGAAAAGAACACACACAAAATATGATTTGGTGTTGGCCCCTTTCCTTTGGAACAAACAAATTAAACATCAATGTTGAAGGATTTCCCTTCAACGCATTTATACACTGAGAAATTGCTGTAGGAAGCTTTGGTTTAAGTCTAGCTGAGGTCATTTGAACTTGGTTTGAACAGGAATCAGTCATCTTGGATTGACAGGACTTCAAATGACTAAGAATGCCACTTTCACACATTCTACAATACAAGCAAGAAGACCTGCAAAAGAGATCAGCTTAGGTTAGGCTAGAGCAGTTGTATGGGAAGACAGGAATTTTAATCCAATGGAAAGGAAATTAGGCAAGACTTGGATACTCTCAATGACAGATAGCTGTACCAGAAGTATGTCAGAAAGAAACTCATCTTCATTCTTTGGCCCGTTTCCTTAAACTTGAACTTAATACAAGCAAGGAGTTATTGGATACAAGTATACTCCAGGGCTGCTGTCATGTTGTATATCTTTCTCATTTTTTTAAATTTTCAAATTATTGATTCTAAGTAACTCTGTTAAAATGGAAAAGGTAGAGAATAGGAAGACATATGAAAACATTAAGAATTGCAAGGTTTACATACTTAATAATTTCAATTTAATTCAATTCCTTGAATTAGAATCCACAATTTTTTATTATTTTCAAGTACTTACAAAAAGTAGCGTGATAAGTTTAACACATTAATTATTGAAAATTCATCAAGTACTTGCAAGTAGTAAATACACAAGTAAAAAATGAGAAGCAACTGTAAATTAATTATTACAACTTCATCAAGTACACAAATGATGACATTACAAAAGGAAAAGCAATTAGTAAATTATTTGATAATTTCAAAAACTCAAGGGGAAGGCTTGCTTTTAAATATCACCAAGTGTACCTAATACTAACTGACTTCATTAGCTCTGCCTATAGTTTCATGATTTAAGTAGTTTGAAATCCATAATCCAAGTGGTATTGAATGGAAGGTTAGTGGATATTAAAGAATCCATCGTTTATTAGGAGGAGGAGGAAGAGAAGATATAATTGACTCGTCAGTTTCTATTGATAGGATGCCTTCAAGCGATATTAAAGAGGAGCCTGACAGACAGCTAAGTTAATTTGAATGAGGATCCCTTTCATTTTGCCTATAAATTTCATTTCCTTATTAGATACCCATGGCTTTATTAGTTTTTAGCGGGGGACACCTAGCCTTTTTTCATACCCAAGGAAACATCACACTGTAGAAATTTTGTTTGGCATGCAAACATGCAATTATTGCAGCATTTATGTTTACTGTACTATTATAATTGATATTACTGGATAGTTATTTCATAATATTTGAAAGTATTTCAGTTTATTTTGTATCAATATCAAGAGGTATTAATTGATGATATTAAACTATAAATTGCTTTGAAAAAACATGAATTTGAACCCAAAGAAGAACTAGAAATAAAAATAGAAATATTGTAATTACTTTGTGTTGATAATTTTGAATGAGATAGGGCATTTAAGGTGGTGTTGAACATTTTTTTTTTGTATGATGAAGCCAAACCAATTAAGGAAGCTAGAAGTTGATCTAAGTAAAAAGAATATCATTGGTGAATCCAAGGTATAGATCTCCTTGGTGAAGCCCTACCTTCAGTTATATCTTTCACATTTGGTGATCAGCCCATTGACCGTTAAGTGGTAAGGAAAACTGTGCCACAGATAATATCATTACATAACATATAGTGTAAAGACCTCTATTCAGGAATAGTGTCAATTCCGGCTCACTGATTTCTTGATACAATAGTTCTTATTATCAGAGTATAGTACACAGAGAACTTTCACTACTACACTGTATCATTAGATAGAGAGAGGACAATGTATTTTTTTTTTAAACGGAAATGTGAGAGATAAGAAAGATTATGCACCGATTAATTGCTTCATATGACTCTTTTATATACAGTATATATATCAAAAACAAATATATTCACAATTTCAGTGATCTTTAAACTATTTTCTTTCATGTCTTTTAAAGAAATACAATATTGTTTGCTCTGTTTCAGAGCAGTTGTTTTAATGTGAGCTATGTACAAATGATGCATGCTAATGTTATGTACAAATGATGCATGCTAATGTTATGTACAAATGATGCATGCTAATGAGTTCATTATACCAACCATCCACTCTAGAGTTGAGGCTGTGTGCATCTATTATACATGCATATACAGCCTCAACAAGAGCAGATAGATTGTATATAATGAACAAAAAAGACACGCATCATATATTGTATACAACGAAACTCCTAGATCCTTGTTATTTGATGTAAAAAAGTGTTCATTCTAGATTGCTTCATGCCTTTATCTATGTCAAATAAATCCCAAATTAGTAGGTTTAATTTCCTGGCCCCCTCACTCCGTGAACGGAGGGATACCATGCGTGTTCCCAAAACGTCCAGTAAAGGGGTATATTTCACGCACCAAAGTCCGGCTCGTAGTGCACAAAAATCTAACCCGTATTGACTTTACACACCGGACTTAGGGGGGTGTTTTCAAAAGGAGGGAACATGCTTGCGTAACTTAAATAACACTGTGTGGGGGGGGGCCGGGTTTAATTAAGCCTGCATACTGAATACAAGCGCAAGTACTCAGTCCTCAACATGCGTAAATGCACAGTGGTGTAAGCGCATCGCGTGGCTAGATTTTATAGGATAGAACTGGAAACTATTGCACACTTTTCCATGAAAAAACGTGTGATGATCTCAGTGAATGCCTCACCCTCTAATGCCTTTGACCAATCATTTGATTTGGATCTAGGAGTGAATTGTTAAACATTGAATTTAACTTTGCCAACTGAAACCACTGAGGAATTGATATAAGAATCAGAGCTGACACCTTGGTCCAGCCTTGCAATCAAGATACAGATAATGATAATTAAAAAATTAAGAAACTGTTTTTGTAACTTGCATTCAACCTACAATTTGAAACATGCTTTGATGTTCATCAATCTCTTTGTTTTTCTTACTCCCGTCCTTGTTTGCATCCTATCCTTACAGCAAAATCTATCATCATTCAGCAAGGTCCATGTTGTCATTGGAAATGAAGCCTGTGATTTGGACTCCACTGTCTCGGCAATAACTCATGCATACCATCTGTCACAGGTAAGCTATCCTCTGATGTAACATTGAGTTTAAGTTAGACTTAGGACATCTTTTTGAAATGCTTGTTACAAAATGAACAAGCATTTCAATGATTTTATAACGAGCATTCAATAGGACATGATGTCTATCAAGGTTTGTGCTCATCCTATTGAGAATATGTGTTGATTTTTAACACACGTTTCAATGCCACTACCTTGCATCCATGTCCCATGGCATTGCTTATTGCTTCAAATGTTTCTTTTATTTGCTGTTCAGATGGCAAGACTGTTTGTTATGCAGTGTTGCTTAAGAATGGTCTATTAACTTCTAAAGGAAGGAGGGAAGGAGACAAGTCTTGATAGTTTGACTGGAACTATTGTCACCAAACAACATATTGTCTGTTAAGTGCCAGAAGAGTGTCTTGTATCGTCTGACGTGTAGGAGTGAAAGCTCTTTTGGCTCTCGGCTGGTGATATGTACACTACAGCTACATGTACACGTAACAGTATGTGAATTTTCTGCATAACTCAGAACATGCTTAACACACAAAATTACTTGGCATTTTTTATAGTAAAGCCTCCAAAGAGAAATATGTTTATATTTGATTCTTGGATCTTGGATTCTTTTCCTCCTAAATACTCCGAAGAAGAGTTTTGACTGGAGGTGGTGGAAAAATAAGAGAAAGAAGTACCGGTATTTGACTGGAGGTGGTGGAAAAATAAGAGAAAGAAGTACCGGTATTTGTTTTGTGAATTTCATTACAGAGACTTAGATATTTTCAGAGGAGCAAAAATATCTCTGAAAAAAAGATATCCCTGAAGCCAGAAGTGATACAGAGGATTCATGCAAATAAGTTTATGGGACTTTAATACAGTTAAGTAGAAGGCATTGAAACATGAGCTCTATTTTTAATGATGAGCCACGAGAGAACTTGCAAACTGTTTTTAGTAGCAAACTATTTATTTGGATCAGGGTAAGGTTGCCATAGAGACAGTATGAGGAGCTCTCAAAGTAAATACAGATTTTGAGTGACAGCCATTGTTCATTCTACAATGACTCACTTCACTCTCACTGTTCAACGGGTCAGGCTCTCGAAAGGGAAATCTTCAAGGTACTTTTTAACTAATCTTTGGCTGTGACGCAAAATCTTTACAAAGTCTTGTTGAAAAAACTCAAACAATTTTTTAAAAGAATAACACCATCAACAACAATATCTACAACAAAATAAAAGAAACAAGTCAATATTACAAAAAAATTAAGTATTTGATTTTATAGTCATTTTGTAGAATGCTGCAAGAGGCTATTAAACAAACAACAAATGCATGAGGTAATTATGTATCTTTGAACATCGCACCAAACAATAAACATATTGCATGAGACTTTCCAACATGGACAAGATGGCTGTATGCCCTTTGGAATTGAGTTTGACTTTTCACTTGAAAGTACCTTTAAAGGTTATTCATGGTGTCACTGTCATTCTCCTGTTCAGCTTACAGTTCAGGAACTTCAGGCCTCTCTGAGAGTGTTTGGACAATTTAAAGGGGTAGAAACAAAATTGAACAAACAACCAAACAACAGCAACAACAACAGTAACAATAAATCAAATAGAGTTAGTTCCCCAATCTTGAAAAGTTCTTTTCTCTATACAAATGTTTGATTGTGAATGCAAGTAGTACAAAAATGCTTGGCAAACTTTGTGATACACGCTTCCTTCCGAACAAGTACAGTTCGTAGAAACACGGGACTGTTTTTCTATGAATAGCCAGTGTAATAATAGTTGAGACAATGCCAAATAAAATCTGCTCCTTAATACCCCTCATTTCCTGTCTGCGCGTTAAGAACCTCATCCATATCCTCTGCATATTAATGACAAGGAAGATTATATAGGAGACACTACCGTGACCTAAATGAGTATATTTTCTTTGTTTTGCTTTGTATGATACACATAATACACAATATCAAACCAACATGAATATTTACTTACTTTGGAGCAGGAAGGTGGTTCAAAACAGCATTGATGCCCTTCTAGCTCTGAACAAATGGTTTGTTGATGTTGTTTTGTTGTTCAAATTTACATCGTTTACACACAAACTTGTAGGTTAGAAGCCATGAAATGTTTAAGTGCCATAATATATACACATACAGGTCAATTAAATGTCATGACATGATAGATTACTAAATGTCTAATATTTGTTTTTTAATAAGCCATAGAGTTAAAGGAAACCTCACCCCAAGAAACAACTCAAGTTATTCTGAGATTGTTATTGTATTTTTGCCCATTAATCTACAAGATTCCCTACCAAAGTGTACATGTATGAGAAAGGCAAAAGGCAAGAATAATGTACAGTTTCTTAGCATGATATGGGTATTGCCATTTTCTTGATAACTTGACTACTTAAGCTATGGTCACAAACCAGAGCAGCGACCGACCGATCAGTAGCCTGCTCGGTCGCTGTTGGAATTTAGGCATCGCCCAGCGATTAGGTCGGTGCCCGGGCGGCGACCGCCCAGGCACCGAGCGTATTTTGGGCGGGGAGTGAAAAGTGAGCAGGTGCCGCCCAAATTTTAACTCCGCGCTAAAACTTCAGCGGCGACCGAGCGATGCCCTAAAAACGAGCAGTGCCTGGGCGGCCGCCGCTCGGTGGCCGGGCAGCCTCCGGGCAGAATTGGTTAAAAACTTGCCGCTCGGCCGCCGAGCAGGCTACTTTTGGGTAATGAGACCATAGCATAAGCGAAGTCGTTTATCAAGTGAATGTATTTAAATTCATGGATGATTGCTTCCTAGATGTGTGTGGTGATTACATTCATTCACCTGCCATTCTCCTTTGTACTATAATAGCCAAAACGCAACAAATAAGTTGGTGCTCTTCTAGGATGAAGGTTTCGCATTAAACTAAATAGATTTGTCAAATGCTATATTTAAGTATTTTTAAAGAAATGAGTTACAATTGTTTCCTTGTTATATATTTTTTTACCAAATATAATTTTGACTTTCTCTATGCTTTGATTTTCTCTCATTGAAAAGTAACGTTTTGTTATTGAATTAAACATTTCCATCTAAATTTTGGTGCGTGATACTTGTACAACTTCACCTGGTACGTCACATTTTCACAAAAATGGCTGCGCCCATGTCATGCTTTTGTAAGGAATATTATACATCTCATTTTTTAGATAACCTACACTTGTTCTTTGGGGTGAAGTTTCTTTTGATAAAGTTTTGAATAAAAATAATTGTAATGACTTCAAGTAAATCTTTGTGTACAGTTCTATATATGATGTTTCAAGTCATTGCAAGATATGAATGACTTGCTTGATCTCCTATATGACCTGATAAACATTTACAAGGGAGTATTATAAACATGCCATCATTTAAATGGTTGATGTTTTGTTCAATAAGGGGATATCTTTCTTGCTCTGTTGAACCTTTTGCAGGATTCTGACTCTGATGTAGAAGCCATCATACCTGTGCTCAACATCCCCCAAGATGAGGTACCATTGAGAACAGAAACCACTCACCTCCTACCACGATGTAACATCCAACTCACAGACCTGGTCTGCAAGGATGACATCGATCTCAAATCCATCCTAAACTTAACATTAACTCTCGTCGATCACAATGTACCTGCAGATAGTGACACCTGGTTAGACCAGTATGTTGTGGAGGTGATTGATCATCGTGTAAACAGTCGCCATGACGATGAGGATAGAGTAATCAGCATCACCAGGGAGATGGTCGGGTCATGTTGTACATTGGTAGCCAGACAGATCTTGGATAAACATCTGGAAATTTTGGATCACCAACTAGTCAAATTGCTACTCGGTGAGCTGCCATTGCTTATATCTTTTTTCAGTTTCACACTTTGCTTGCTTTCTGCGCCTCTCTGGCTCTGCATGGTTATTTGTTTGCTACATGTGCAATTGTGCACAACAGAATAGCTTTGTAAAATTACCCACTTCAGGTCTTGATTAAATTCCATGACAACTCCTTTAACATTGCTTTACTATAGATTAATCTTGCACTGGAAATAGTTATATAATATTGAAACATTTGTTATATCTATCCTATGATATATATATATATAATGTGGCAAAGAGGGATTATTTTCGTGGCATGTAAAGAGTAATCAGATCAGTGGGGTATTTTGCTGTTTCTGTAACCAAATTGTGGTTACTTTGGGGTTCAGCAGATGACTGAAATAGTTTTACATGAATGATGGTTGAGAGTTTGGAAGTATATGAGGCATTAAACAGGAAGGAAACAGGAAGTAATCATTGTCGGGATGACAACTACATTATAGTCAGTAGTCAGTCAAATCAAATCAGTATGGATGAACTTAATATTTCTATCTGAACATATTTAAAGCGTAGATAAAAGATGAATTATGTTAATCTATACAAGTATCAAAGCAATTTTGGCCAAATTTATTGTATATTTTCTTTGATATTGGGTACCAGGAACCATATTGCTGGACACCCTAAACCTGTCTGAAGCAGCAGGAAGGACCACACCTACAGATGAAGATGTTGTCACAAGACTGGGAAACCTTAGCCCAAGGATCAACCTACAGGAGCTCTTTAATGAAGTACAAGCAGCCAAGTTCAATATATCAGGTAAAAATTAATTCAACTTTTTAAACACCAATTCTCAAGTCAGTTTTATGCTAAATTCATATTGGCGTATTCAGTGGGATCCAATGGATTAAATATGTGATATGCTGATCTTGTGGACTTTAGAATTCATCTGTCATCTTGGCTTGATAAGAAAAATAAAATTATTACTTTCCATACATGTAGATTAATAAGTTACAAGAACTGTCAGTTCCATCTCTTAATGAGTCACCACTGTCACCACTAACCTGTGATTGAGTGACTTTCTATTATGTTATGATTATCAGTCATCATTATGAACAGGATAGACATTAAAGCAGTATGAAGAACATTGAAATATTAATTAAATGACCTGATGCAATGACCTTATATGCATTTAAATTAGTTGCATGATTTGTATACAAATTAATGTCAAGTTTTTATGACTACCATTAACAATGGTTTCAAGTCATAACAACACTTCTGTAGGACACAAATCATTATTTCCTGTCTCAATTTATAGCCATTATTAGCATCCAGCACTTATTATCAGCTAGATGAATTACGTTTTCAGTTGTAATTAATTAAAAATTTAATTGGCTAACTGTTGGGGGGAGGGGTGGGATTCTAATGCGTTGGGCTCTTTTCTGAAGTGATAATGGGGCTTTAATAGGAAATGCATTTCAAGGCATCTTTATTTCTTATCCAAATATGCATACGTGGATACATACATTTTGCATTAGGAGGTTACTAATTTTCTGTCCATATCGTACGGTAATGTTTCCTTGAGTGCTTGAGGTACTATACTTTATACATTGGTATGCAGTTTTAGTTTCATATGAAAAATTGTGAAAGTGTGAAGTATACCCTGACCTTTCCACGGACATAGAGTCTTGACGTTTTTGAGATCCTGTTTGAATGACTAAGTGACCACATCGTGTGGTTTATAGCAATAAATAGAACCAAGAGGCAGGCTGTCATGATACACCAGAAGGCCGGCAAGCTCTTTTTATGTATGTCTGTCTGTGTATGATCATACAGCCTCCGTATTTCAATTAATGCAAGTGGTTACAATGGAAATCAACCCTGAGTACACAATGCCAATGTTGTACTAAGAATAGAAATGCACTTCATGCTTGTGAGAGCCTGCTGTTGTTATAGTGATGACATTGCAACCCGATAAATGTTCAGATTGTCAGTGTCTATTTTGAGTAATCCTGACCCTTTTTCCATTCATACTTCTGTACATAAACACTACATATTAATATTCAGATTATGAATTATACAACTATATTTCAACATATATACAAAATGTATAGGCCTACAGACTACACATACATTGGAATGATGAATTATGCACATGTTTAGCAAGCAACAGACCTCTGTTTTAAATGATATCTGATAAAGGTATTAAAAAGAAATTGTGGCATATTTCACTAAATGGCCAGAGAGAAGAACAACAATAAGAGCTCTCTGCCAAAATGGTTTCTATAATCATCGTTAACAGGTACAATGTGTAAAAGCGGGTCTAATGCATCATTGTATTTGTACATGAAGGTTTGCATGTAACCTTGTAGCCGTCATTACCACTTCAAACAGTCGTCTAATTGATGGAATATGATCAGATGCTAATGTTAATCTGCGTACTTGGCATTTGATGCTTACTAAGTTAAAGACCAGTGGTAGTCTACTGTATGCTTCATGCATCATTAGACAGTAAATATCATACTACATTGTGTATAGCATTAGTAGGGGGTCGATATGTGTGTTGCTTCCTGACAGTAATTCATGTTTGGTGTACCGATGGCTTACAGTTGAACTACTAGCCGCATTGAGATTTGAAAAAATGAAAAATAAAAAACGAGAGTGGTTCTAAACTTCTAGTTACCGGTAAATAATAAAAAATAAAGTACTTGTAGGCCTTTTCTGTTGATAATCCTCACTTATCAATAATCAAACATCATCTGGTAGTTATTATGAGTGTACAGTTTTCCCTTGTCTACGCCACTAGCATGTGCTTTTCATGGAAAGGAGACTAGAAGGATGGAGGCCAAGGACATTCATTTGTAATTAGAAGATCGATGAGGCCTGAGGCTGAGAAAGAAAAAAACAAACGTCTGTCTCCTGATCCCACACACTGAAATCATATCTTGTTTGTGAACATTATAATTAATAAGGGGTACAGTAATGAGAGTATATTGGACTTTCCATCTCAGGAATGAAATAAGTATTTTGTAAAATAATGGAGTTATTGAATATGATGTCAATGCTGCCTACCAAATATACATGTAAAGGATTACAGCTTTAGCCATTATGTCTCAAATTTATTTGTATGACAACATTATTTTGGTTAGAAATAGAAATCATACTATACATCTAAAGTGATATGATTAAAAATATTTTATTTCTCTAGGTGTTTCTATGCACCATGTATATTCATGACAGAAAGAGATAATCATTATTTTAGAACAAAACTTTAGTTTACTGTTTCTCAAAGTTTTGTTTTTGTCACTGCTGCTGCAATTTGGAACAGTATTGATTGCTTCCCAGAAATGTGTGATATATATTGTGATACAAAATTGAGGAAAAATCATTAATTTCAGGGATCGTAAATCTGCTGTTGCTGAATCAGAAATTGAGCTCTGGCCAAATGAACAAAAGAAAATAATTATCAATCTGTTGATAAAATATGAATCATGTCATATGTACAGTGTACCAGATTTTACTGATGAATACACTGTAGATGTTGTTTTTACTCTTTTAATTCATCAAGAAGAATGATAACATAATTTAATGAATGATGTATGATGCTGTGCAGTGTATATTATGTACACTGTAGATATATTTTGCAGATTGTAGATGGTCAAAGTGATAAGTCCAATCTTTTTCATTGTTTAGGAGAAATATGAAGTATTTGCTTCTAACCAAAGATCTAATGATAGTCTGTTATGTAAGATTATAAAAAAACATGTAGCTCTTGTTTTTGCCTGACAAAAATAGAAACAGATGTCAGATATAAACATGTGTGTGCAAAGAGTAATGAATTTTCTTACAATAAGTAATTAAACAGTTTTAATAGTTGCTGCTAACTTTGAGTGTATCCTTAGTGGATAATGTTGAAAGGAACAGCCAATGCACTGTTTCTATTTTTTTTTCTCTCTCCCTGTAATTTGCCCCTCTTTACCGTACACATGTACATGTACTTCTTGCTCTTACCACCCCCCCCCCTGCCCCTGACCAATCTGTTCACCTCTTCCTCTCTCATTAACCTATATTCTATTATTTTGTTGCATGTATTACATCATGTTATCAGTTTAAACACTCTCAACTTACTCTTTAAATCGACCATTGAAATTTAGTTGGCAAACATTTTTTGAAGACATCACAAGTCTCCACTTCACATCCTTGATTTTCCGTTTTTAATAGAAAATAATAATAGGTAAATGTAAGTTCAGCTGAGTACCTGTGTTTGGATAATAAAATTGTAATTTTATTGTCATCTCAAATCGAAACTGCATTTTATTAAAGTAAAATATGTTATTCTTCCAAGGACTCAGCTACCCAAGGACTGATAGTGTAACAAAGCCAAGTCACGATGAAGGTCATTCTAAAAATGAGCATGGAATAAAAAGGAAATACATGTAATGAGTCAACATCTCATTATGTTAATGTTTAGACTATTGTTTGTTGGACTCTATTTACTTTTCAACCCCTGCACAAGGTAAACAAAGGGCATGCCAGACAGGCTGTTGTCACTGAAAACACACCAACTCATCTAGTTTTATGAATCACTGTTTTCTGATAATAGCATAACAAATATACAAAATGACTGAAGAGGAAACTCCCTTTTTTTTTTTTTTTTCCTTTCATACAATGATGGCTTTTTTTAAAATGTGGGACAAGGATATATTGTCAATGTTATCTTATTCTGCATAGTGTTTCTTTTGTGTGATGCCTTTATATAGGCCAACATGTTATGTGCATTATACATTTTGAGCTGAAATTCAGGAAGTAATGAGTAAGAAAAACTTTTGCCACAGAAACAGAAAAACCACTGTCCATAAACCTTGGAGATTATACATATTGAAATCATTATCCGATATGATTAGAAATGAATCATTTGATGATCCTGAAAACTGTCAGTATACCGGGGTAACAGGAATTGCTATGAAAACCAAGATAAGGGAATCTAATTTCCAGGTATGTGACACATGGCATAATATGCAACAGCTGATAAAAGGTGAGGGCTGCTGGATGAAGTCGTTGAGAAAAATATAATTATATAAAAAAAGATTTGCAAGCAGAGTGTACATACATGTAAATGGTCTAAATAAAGCAAGTGGCGTCATTTCAAAAGCACAGCCTTTTTATTGTCACGCCCATTGAGACACCTGTTCTAATTGACACCATGCATTCATGGACAATGAACTAGCTCATTCTGTTGCGCAGCAGTGCTCAGTTATTGAAGCAAGCCTATCATACTGTACATGTAGCAGAGGAAGCTAAATAGATGGGAGTGCTTTCCTTTTGAGGTTTAATGCAGATTTGAAAGAAAGAAAAACAAAAATTGAAATTCTCTACATTTCATTTAATTGCCCATTATGAATAACATACTGTGACGAAATGGCACTTTAAGTAGGCCCTCTTACGAGGGTAGAAGAACAACTATTATTCTATTTCCATTAAACCCATTTACCCTCAAACATCCACTCTACTACTCATATCTCTAATGGGCATAAACCCGAGGGAGAGTAGAGGGTTAAATAATCTCTTTTAACTTCACTGACAAATTCCAGACAATGAAAGCCTGTGCCTATTTCTAGTAACCCCTTTCATGCCACACAGCCCTGCTCCCAGCCTCAGGTCATGTAATATTGTAGTATAAGCAAGGGATGGGTTAAAGTATACTATTATAGTCGAAGGGATCTTAAGACAAGGAAGGCTGTGACGAGGTCCGGCCTAATTACACTATTTTCAGCCCTGTTGTTTATATAGGAGAGATTAGTTGCACTCGCTTAGTACAG